TAATTACAAGTGATATAATGGATGCACAAACTATTAAGAGTTTTAGAAATCTTGCAATGCTAAAATTTTCTGATTTTTTAAAGAATAGCTCTCATAACCAGGACCTATTATATAGAACAGGGAACTATACTCAGTATTTTGTCTGAGTATCTAAGGGAAACTAATCTGAAAAGTAGACATATATAGCTGAATCACTGTGCTGTACAGAAAGTAGCATAGCATTGTAAATCAACTATACTTCAATTGATTACAATTTTTTCCAAAAAAAAAAAAAATTAAGAATGATTTTCAATGATTCTCACCTCTTCTAAAGACATAAAATATTTTCTTAAATGTTAAATTACCCACTTTTGATGTGTTAGGACTTGAGACAGGATTGTACTGAAAGCTGAAACCATCTCCTCCTGTTCTGGGTGCCCTGTGCCATGTAGCGCCTTGATTGCTGGAACGCAGACAACAGCCACATGGCCAAGCTCCCTCCTCCCCTGCTGCATACAGATGAGTCTGACTTCCTGGGGTCTGGGACTGTCAGTCTTCTGGATGATGGTTGTCACCTGGGAGCCTGTTAGAAATGCAGAAATGCCCCACCCAGACCTACTGAACATAGTCTACTTTTTCATAAAATCTCTATATGATTTGTATGCAAGTTAGAGCTTGAGAGCCTCTGCCCTCACATGGGAGGTTGAGTCATATGCTCACTTCTTTTAGGTTTAAGAAAGACCTTATTAAAATGTGTGGCTCCTCTTTTGACCTTTGAAAGGCTTCAGAAGATACTGGTCAATGATCAGTTCTGTTCAATTCCTGGCTGGACTTGAGATGCATTCAAAGTTATAGCTGATTTTTAAATCTCATATATTTAATTTTTCATTTCAGCAGTTTTCTTATTTGGAATTCACCCCGCCCACCTTACTCCGTCAATATCAACTGCACCAGGGTGCTCATCTCTTCTGTAAAGTCCTCCTCAATTCCCCTGAGGAAAAGCTTCCGTTATGATCTCATCGTCCTTAATCAAAACCTATGGTCAAACATTAACTGAGCCTACTCTGGTTATATAACTGAATCCTGCATGAGACTATGCCAGTTTCAGACATAGGAACTGAGTCTCTTCAGCTTTAGATTCACCGTTACTCATAGCATAGCCTATTAGATTTTTAATAAACATGTGAAATTAAACGTCTCTCAAATTTGCTTTTAATGGCTCCTGTAATCCACTGCTTGTGTCATAAAGGAAATCAAGAGACATCTGTTATTAATGAAAGTGTATTTTATTCATGGATCTTATGACATTTAGGAAAGCATATATATTTTGTACTTTCATGCAAAATTGTGCTGTAACTGACCTGGTGGTTATGAAGGGAAGCAGGAGTGTTCTTTGATGGGAATCCTTGAGCAGAATTCTAGTTCTGTTAGTGTAACAGTATTTAAGGGGAAGAATTGCTTTAGCTTGGAAAATAAACATCATATATAGGAGAAACAGAATTGAAGAAAAAGGAAATTATGAAAAATGGAGTATATAAGTGTAAAAGAAAGGTAAATTTCTCTGACTGGCTCAGCCCCTGGATCAAAACTGGGGAGTCACAGGGGTGCAGACAGTGGACAGGAACTTGGAATTGGGAGCCTGTGCTCTAGTTTTAGCTCTTTTACTAACTAACTGAGTACTTGAGAAACTTGCTAAACATTTGTGGGTCTCAGATGTTGTCACATCTGAAAGTGCTTCTTAAGCAAAGATGAAAGCTAGATAAATTGGGAGTGGAGGAGGCTTTGTTTAAAGACACAGTCAAGTATAACATCCAGAGATACATTTTTGCTTGGCTTGTGATGGGTGCCAAGCATAATGCATCTTTCTGATATTTATTTCTGGTTAAGCATCAGTGAATTAGATGATCTCTTAACATTCCTTATAGCTCAAAGGGTCCCTGATTTAATGACTACAGACCTAGAGTGTATGTGTGGTTATAAGTTCACGTGTCTGGCAGACAATGCTGATTGTACTCCTCTTCCTGTAGGAACAAACCCACAGTTTTTGCTTGCTACATGCCTTATAGAATAACTATTACATTTCCCAGTTTTCCTGTGGGTGTGGCCATGGACTAAATTCTGGCCAAAGGGATGTGGTATATGCAGATTCTGACAGTGTCCTTAGTATAGCTGTGCCTTCTTCCTTCTTGCTGACTGGCATCCAATGATACGTTGGCCAGACTTGGGAGCTGCAGCAGGAGATTGGAGAGAACCGAGACAGCGTGGCCTAGGTCCAAGACACCAGGGAGTGCATTACATCAGCCCGGAACTTACTACTCCCAGGTTTTCTTTATGTGTGAGATAAAGACACTACTATTTAGTTAAAGTAATTGCTCAAACTACCGCACAATTGCACTCATCTCACACGCAAGCAAAGAAATGCTCAAAATTCTCCAAGCCAGGCTTCAATAATACATGAACCATGAACTTCCAGATGTTCAAGCTGGATTTAGAAAGGGCAGGGGAGCCAGAGATCAAATTGTCAACAGCTGTTGGATCATCAAAAAAGCAAGAGAGTTCCAGAAAAACATCTACTTCTGCTTTATTGACTATGCCAAAGCCTTGGACTGTGTGGATCATAACAAACTGTGGAAAATTCTTCAGGAGATGGGAATACCAGACCACCTGACCTGCCTCTTGAGAAACCTATATGCAGGTCAGGAAGCAACAGTTAGAACTGGACATGGAAAAACAGACTGGTTCCAAACAGGAAAAGGAGTACATCAAGGCTGTATATTGTCACCCTGCTTATTTAACTTATATGCAGAGTACATCATGAGAAATGCTGGACTGGATTAAGCAAAACGTGGAATCAAGATTGCTGGGAGAAATATCAGTAACCTCAGATATGCAGATGATACCACCCTTATGGAAGAAAGTAAAGAAGAACTAAAGAGCCTCTTGATGAAAATTAAAGAGGAGAGTGCAAAACTTGGCTTAAAACTCAACATTCAGAAAACTAAGGTCATGGCATCTCGTCCCATCACTTCATGGCAAATAGATGTGGAAACAATGGAAACAGTGACAGACTTAATTTTCTCGGGCTCCAAAATCATTGCAAATGGTGACTGTAGCCATGAAATTAAAAGATGTTTGCTCCTTGGAAGAAACATTGTGATCAAAAATTAAAAAGCATACTTATCAAGTCACTCAGTCAAGTCTGACTCTTTGCAATCCCATGGTCTGTATCCTACCAGGCTCCTCCATCCATGGGATTTTCCAGGCAAGAATACTGAAGTGGGTTGCCATTTCCTTCCTTCTCCAGGAGATCTTCCCAACCCAGGGATTGAACCCCAGTCCCCCACATTATAGGCAGATGCTTTACCATCTGAGCCACCAGGGAATTAAAAAAACAACAACAACAACAACAACAAAACATACTAGACCGCATATTAAAAAGCAGAGACATTAGTTTGCCAACAAAGGTCCATCTAGTCAAGGCTATGGTTTTTCCAGTAGTCAAGTATGAATGTGAGAGTTGGACTATAAAGAAAGCTGAGCACTGAAGAGTTGATGCTTTTGAACTGTGGTGTTGGAGAAGAATCTTGAGACTCCCTTGGACTGCAGGGAGATCCAACCAGTCCATCTTAAGGGAAATCAGTCCTGAATATTCATTGGAAGGATGATGCTGAAGCTGAAACTCCAGTACTTTGGCCACCTGATTCGAAGAACTGACTCATTGGAAAAGACTCTGATGCCAGCAAAGATTGAAGGTGGGAGAAGAAGAGGACGACAGAGGATGAGATGGCTGTATGGCATCACGAACTCAATGGAAATGAGTTTGAGTAAACTCTGGGAGTTGGAGATGGACAGGAAGGCCTGGCATGCTGCAGTCCATGGTGTTGCATAGAGTTGGGCATCTCTGAGAGACTGAACTTAACTGAATTGCTATTTTGGTTTTACTCTTTCTTTCAACAAAACCCATTTAACTAAAACAATATGGAGCATGAAAAAGACGTTATGAACTTCAATTAATTTTCCTAATCCTCATGTCAGTACAAAATGGAATGTTTATTTACAATGTTTTTGTTTGATTATTTATTTTCTACAAGTGTCATATGTCTGTAAGACAGAGAGTAATAATGTATTTCACAGACAGCACTTCTGTCATAGTCAGAAGCTAATGAAGAGATATCACAGTTTTAAGAAACACAGTTTTCTTTTTGCAATTTTGTCTTATTCTCTAAAACTTTGTGGGGGTTTTTTTTTGGCATATGTTATAGACATGTATATATATACATACATATACACACATTAAAATTTTTGTCCTCAAAAATGATCAGTTACCATTAATTTTCTGTAAAACATGGTGGGCCCTGAACTACAGTAAAATATTAAGAACAGCCATTTAAATTATACTTGTTATTTATTGGCAATGAGCAAACATGGTGTTGAGTTATTTAAATACTTCCACATAATTTTTGAAAGATGTTTGGGCTTTGACAAGAGCTTGTTAGTAAAAATCCTTTAACTCTTTTCCCTCCTATGTAGAGCTGAACAAAAATGCACATCCACACACATGATATACTTACAAATAATGGAATTTGTTTCTTGTGAAAAATTACCTCTAAAGACTTTGAAAGACATTGGACTTTTTTGCACATTTTAAGTTTCTGACGGGCAACAATGATGAGGAACAGGAAGAGGATGGTGAAAGAAAAATTTTATATATATGTAAAATTTAGGGCAATAACATTTCTGGGATTAAAAGTCATGTGAATAGCTGTTACCATTTCCAAATGTTTCTTAATAAATAGGAGCAAAATATTATAGTAAATATTTCAGGCTATTAAATAAGCAAACTCTCTCTCTCTCTCTCTCTCTCTCTCTCTCTCTCTCTCTCTCTCACACACACACACACACACACACACACACATCCCCTCAAACATACAATTAGAAACTAAATCAAATCAAATCATAGAGAAAGATGATTGGGTGGGGAAAGGAAATGGAGACTATTATGAAGAGCTCTCTCTCCTTACCTTCATTCTTCTCATCAGGGTCAGTGTAGATGGAAGCCAGGGTAAAGAAGGAAAAGATAACAAAAGCTAGTAAAATGAATGCCATTTCCAGGTTGGTAAATGGAAGTTCCATGAAAGACCACAAACTTCTTTACCTGCAAATATATATATATATATATATATGTAGTTTCTGTCTCACTGATCACACCCAGATTCAGAGTAAGTTCTTGTTCTGGGAATTACTTAGCATTTGCCAACCAGGAGATACATCTATAACTGAATCAATTTTTAATGAAGAAAACAAAGTCTTCAAAGTCACTGATCTAACCTAACCAAAATAAAGATAAATGTGTTAACAAGTCAACCATGAAAATGTCCAATCTCAGATTCAAAAAAGAAGAGCTCCTATATTTAGAAAGGAAATCATAGTTTCATTGGGGGAAATTATAACATTACCTAGTTAGAAGTAACCTCTTTCTGTATATCTTTCAGTATTCACTATATAATGTAAAATATTTAAACTGCTGTGGACATATATGGGAATGTTATAATTTTAAGACACAGAGAAAGACATTTCACACCCTTCTACTGCAACTCTTCCTAAATTGTTTATTTACTGCCTATTTTAGGAAGAAATTTATTGAAGTCTTTCATCTAAGTTCTCAGGTTCCTTTGAATGTATTTTTTAAATGAGTTCATTATACCCTGTAGTTCCAGCCACAGGACTGGAAAAGGTCAGTTTTTATTTCAATCCCAAAGGAGGGAAATGCCAAAGAATGTTCAAACTAGTGCACAATTGCACTTATTTCACATTCTGGCAAGGTAATGTTCAAAATCCTTCAAGCAAGGCTTCAAATGTACGAGAATTTCCAGATGTACAAGCTGGATTTAGAAGAGGCAGAGGAACCAGAGATCAAATGGCCAACATTCACTGAATCACAGAAAAAGCAAGGAAATTCCAGAAAAATATCCACTTGTGTTTTACTGACCATGTTAAAGTCTTTGACTATGTGGATCACAGCAAATTGTGGAAAATTCTTAAAGAGGTGGGAATACCAGACCAACTTACCTGTCTCCTGATAAAGCTGTATACAGGACAAGAAGCAACAGTTAGAACTGAACATGGAACAATGTACTGGTTCAAAATTGAGAAAAGAATATGTGAAGGCTGTTTAGTATCACTCTGCTATTTAACATATAAGCAGAGTTGTTGCTGTTCAGTTGCCCAGTCATGTCTATGTGATCCCGTGGACCCCAGGCAGCATGCCTGGCCTCGCTGCCCCTCACCATCTCCCGGAGTTTACCTAAGTTCATGTTCATTGCATTGGTGATTCAGTCAAGCCATCTCATCCTCTGATGCCCTCTTCTCTTTCTGCCATTGATCTTTCCCAGCATCAGGGACTTTTCCAATGAGTTGTCAGTACACATCAGATGACCAAAATACTGGAGCTTCAGCTTCAGTATCAGTCCTTCCAGTGAATATTCAGGGTTGATCTCCCTTAAGATTGATTGATTTGATCTCCTTGCTGTCCAAGGGACCTTCAGGAGTCTTCTTCAACGCCACATTTTGAAGGCATCAATTCTTTGGCATTCTGCCTGCTTTATGGTCCAGCGCTCACAACTGTATGTGACCACTGGGAAGAACATAGCCTTGACTATATGGACCTTTGTTGGCAGAGTGATGTCTCTGCTTTTCAACACACTGCCCAGGTTTGTTATTGCTTTCCATATGCAGAGTACATCCTGTGAAATGCTGGGCCGAATCAACTCACAAGCTGGAATCAAGATTTCCAGATTATTATCAATAATCTCAGATATGCAGATGGTACCACTTTAATGGCAGAAAACAAAGAGGAACTAAAAAGCCTCTTGATGAAGGTGACAGAGGAGAGTGAAAAAGCTGGGTTAAAACTCAACATTCCAAAATGAAGATCATGACATCTGACCCCATCATTTCATGGCAAAGATATGGGGAAACAACAGAAACACTGACAGACTTTATTTTCTTGGGCTCCAAAATCACTGTAGATAGTGACTGCAGCCATGAAATTAAAAGATGTTTGCTTCTTGGAAGAAAAGCTATGATGAATCTAGACAGTGTTTTCAAAAGCAGAGACATCACTTTGCCTACAAAGTCCATATAGTCAAAGATATGATTTTTCCAGTAGTCATGTATGATGTGAGAGTTGGACCCTAAAGAGGGCTGAGCACCAAAGAATTCATGCTTTCAAACTGTGGTGCTGGAGAAGATTCTGCAGAGTCCCTTGGACTGCAAGGAGATCAACCCAGTCAATTCCAAAGGAAATCAACCCTGATATTCAGCGGAAGGACTGATGCTGAAACTGAAACTCCAATACTTTGGCCACCTAATGTGAGAGCTGACTCATTGGAAAAGACTCTGAAGCTGGAAAAGATTGAGGGCAAGAGGAAAAGGGGGCGGCAGAGGATGAAATGGTTGAATGGCATCACTGACTCAATCACAATAAGTTTGAGAAAACTCCAGGAGATGGTGAAGGACAGGGAAACCTGGTGTGCTGCAGTCCATGAGGTCATGAAGAGTCAGACACCACTGAGTGACTGAACTGAACTGGGCTGAACTGGATATCCTATAGTTGACAGATAAGATTTGAGGTGGGAATTAGCTTTGCTCTCTTGTCTACATGTAATCTTCTAGTCATTGCCATAGCAGGAGAGAAGTAGGTGAGGGGACAATGAGCTCTTAAAAATCTGCTGTTTTGAACATATTTCTGATTTTTTGAACATATTTCTTACAATTGACTGTATAGTTTGGGAGATATTGATCGGAAATCTGTAGCTTTCTGTGGTTTTGTTGGAGAGAAAATTGCACATGGAATTTATGTATCAGGTATGTGTATTTTAAAATATGATGAGTACTACCAAATGAAGTGGTAAGATGTATCTTGGAATTTTAACATCCATGCACATTGGCCCGGCTTATTTCAGTTCCTTACTCTGAAGCTAAGTTTTCCAGAGCATGGCTCCACTGCCACCTGTCTAACTGTCTGTATTGTTGAGAATCTGGATTCCCTCTGATATGTTGCCATTGCTAACAATGCAGCAGAAAAGATTTTTTGTAAGTATAACTTTGCACACTGGTATATATTTCTCTAGGAAAGACTCATAGAAGTGGAACTGCTGGATCTTTAAAATATTGAAATACTTCTTCACAAATTTCCTTGGATTTTACAACCATACCAATTCTGTATGTAGATAACTGTTTCCCTGTCCTTCCCCAACACTCCTTTTTTTTAGGATTCCCACTCCCAATTTAAATTTAAAAATACCATCTTGTGTTTAAATTGACTTTTTCCTGATTTTTAGCTAGATTAAACATCTTTCCTATAATACTGCCTAGATTCTTAAAAACAAAACAGAGTAACACTGTGTATTCATTTGGCTGTGCCAAGTCTTAGTTGAAGCATGTGAGGCCAGTTCCCTGACCAGATATTGAACCTGGGCCCCGTTTATCGGGAGCACAGAGTCTTAGCCACTGGACCACCAGGGAAATTCCCTGCCAAGACTCTTAAAATCAGCATGATTTGACAGATTCTGTCTCTACTGACAAATATACTCTTGGGTCTTGGAAACATGATAGTGATTTTAAAAAATCAGTACATTCATAGAGAAATAAACACAATCTGTTCACTTTTATAAGATTCTGGCTGTACCACACTAATAGCATAATCACATTTTCCTACACTGATTTCCCTGAACCATCTAGAACATCCAGTTCCATTTTCTTAATCACTGTGTTGGACAACTCCTCCTCATGTCATCTCCATCTGAATGTGTAAGTGAGCCAGGTTTCAGTGGGGCAAGGGATGGATGACAAGAGGCAAAAATAATGAGGTTGGATGTACAGGCATCATGGAGTTTTTAACTATACTCTGGCGTCATAAGTAATAGCTAACCTCAAATCCCTACCCCAGGCATGGCAAGATCACAGAAAGAACAAAGAATGGGGCCATAGATGGGCAAGGGTTTTTCATTTATGGTAGATTTGACTGTTAAAAATAACATTTGAAAATATTAATAACAGAAAAGACCATAAACAAAGAGAAGAGGTAGATTGAATGACAACAGAATCTTTAAGCCAAAGCATATAATGACGGTCTACAAATTAGTGAGAAAATTACAAATGCCCAGTTTAAAAGTTAGTGAAGGTTACAGACAAATTATTCACAGAGCAAGCTATTTAAATAATTAATCGACATATGATAAGACTCGTAGTGCCAACATGACTCCTGTAATTTTGCTCACTGGCTAATAGTATATCATCTTAGCATAAATAAGCACAACTTGATGATTTATTAAAATGCACAAATCTTTACAATAAGTAATGTTTGTAATTTTTATAGTAAGTCAACATGTAATTGGCTGCTACCAAAATCACATATACTTTTTCGGTCTTCAGTTCAATTCAGTTTAGTAACTCAGTCATGTCCAGCTCTTTGTGATCCCATAGACTGCAGCACGCCAGACTTCCCTGTCCACTACCAATTCCAGGAAATGCTCAAACTCATTTCCACCGATTAGGTGATGCCATCCAACCATCTCATCCTCTGTGATCCCCTTCTCCTGCCTTCACTCTCTCCCAGGATCAGGGTCTTTTCCAGTGAGTCAGTTCTTCACATCAGCTGGCCAAAAACATGGAGTTTCAGCTTCAGCTTCAGTCTTTTGAAATGAATATTCAGGACTGATTTCCTTTAGGATTGACTGGTTTGATCTCCTTACAGTCCAAGAGACTCGAGTTTTCTCCAGCATCACAGTTCAAAACCATCAATTCTTTAGCACTTAACTTTCTTTATAGTCCAACTCTCACATCCATACATGACTACTGGAAAAACCATAGCTTTGACCAGATGGACCTTTGCTGGCAAAGTAATGTCTCTGCTTTTTAATATGCTGTCTAGGTGGGTCATAGCTTTTCTTCCAAGGAGCAAGCGTCTTTTAACTTCATGGCTGCAGTCACCATCTGCAATGATTTCGGAGACCCCAAAAATAAAGTCTCTCACTGTTTCCATTGTTTTCTGATCAATTTGTCAAGAAGTGATGGGACCGAATGCCATGATCTTACTTTTATGAATGTTGATCTTGAAGCCAACTTTTTCA